ACCTGATCAGCTACACCGTTCATAAATAATGTGTAGGCCTATTGGCAATATTAAAATCGCCATCGAGTCAGATCAACAAAATTTTAAAGTATTATTGATTAAAGGTGTGATTGGCAGGATCATTAATTAGTTCTGTTAAAAATAAATTAGCTAATAGAAACGTATGATACTGCAATTTTGCTAAAAGATATATAGACCCTTACTTTCAAATAAAGTCTTTATATTAAACTCTTTATACTAAACATTGTTTTATTTTAAAAACTACATCTCTATTGTTCCACAGTTCAGCTCTATCGAAAAAGTTTAGACGAAGATTTAATTTACATTAATATTCGATCTAGATTTAGATCTAGATCTAGATCTATAACTTTAAAAAAAAAAGAAGCTTTTTATAGATACAAAGGCTGATCCTCCAAAACTCTTTTAAAGATAACAATTTTATATATAAATATATAGCAAAGTCATTTCGTCACACATAATTGGGGTTTTGAGGAGATGACCATGTGACGAAATGACCGGCTACTATACTTTCGACTGGTTGGAACAGCTCAAGTCACACATTTTTATGTAAGACAGCATAGAGATCTAGATCTAGATCTAGATCTAGACTAGATCTAGAATCTAGCTAAGCTAAACCGTTCACAGTTCAGCTCACATCGTAAAGGAAGAAAAAGTAAAAACTACAAGAGGGTAAGGCCAAGCACAAGGTCTGAACTGGCCTCTAGAATAGATTCTATAAAGTAAAGACTTCTTGAAATATAGAATAACACCGGTGCAAACCACTATAGATCTAGAGATTTAGTATAATATAGGTTCGGGTAGATTATATCTAGAATCTAGACATAAAAAAGAATTATAATGTTCCTGCTCCGGAATGTTTGTTTTTAACAGCAGGGATAATCCTTAAAAAATATGACTTCATAAAATCACGATAATACTAGGACTAGGCAGGGTACTCAAAATAATTAGAAATAGAAATCTTGAACACGGCACCAAGATCCGGAATGGTAAGTTGTCAACAAATACATACGCCAATACGAGGAGAGAGAATTTACCTGCACACGGCAGCCATATTGTGAGCAAACCTCGTTTTAGCAACAGTGACGAGTGAGCAGCAAGCCCTGCAATGAATGGCTGCCTGAGCGCGCGAGCGAGAGTAACGCAGAACGGATCGATAACCCTTTCAATGTTTCCATGGCAATAAAAAATACGAATTGTTTACTCGGCAATATTGCCGAGTAAACTTTTTAAGCCTTCTGAATTGTTTATCCGCCAAACTGTACGAAACCACGAGTATTCCTGACAGCATAAAGGTGTTGGCCTTTTTAAGTTCTGTTAAGAAGAATAGGCTTATAGCCTGCTTATTTTCATTCATCATTTGGGACCTATAACAAGCACGTTTTCATCCGCGGAAAAAAACAAAACAACAACAACAACAACAAACAAACAAAAACCAACCTATTACAAAGTAATTTAAAGAAACACAGGGAAGCCGTTCCGTTTGGTTATTATGTACGTGTACCCCAGGAGCCAAAATCCAACGCCAGGCCCCAATTTTAATTTGTTGTGGGAAGGGGGGGAAAAGTTAAGTTCATATCAGCAATTTAATTTAGACACTTGACTTCTTATTCTTAATAAATATTCGCTACTATTTGAAACTCTACTGAAACATATAATTAGCTGATCGGTGTCACCACCATTTCAAAGAAAAACGGTTACTCTTGTTATAGCCTTGATCTGTAATGAGGGAGATATGAATATTCTCTTTTCGAACGACCGGCAGAGTTCTTAATCAATTGACTTACCAATGTGTAATTATATTACTATTACTGTCATGGAAAAACATTTAAAATCAATGCAGAAAACTGCTCACGACGAATTGAAAACAAAGATCAACTATAGTTGGATATATACGCTCTCATATTCATATTCACTAATCCTGTTTCATCCTATAACTTGATGGTCAGCAATTTTTCTTTCTTTTTTTTTAAACCTGAGGTTGTTTTCTTGGGGGGGGGTGCAAAGTTCGAGTCCAAACGACTAGAGAAAAGTCAAACTACTGATTAATTAATCATCTTTCGGGGCTCTTCAGAATATATATTGACGACATAACAGAGAATGATTCCGAAACTTCGCTGAAACGCAGAATGTAAGGTGGATAATCATTTTGTACAGTGCGATTACTTCTTGTAAGACTAACCACTTTACAATCACGTTGGGAGAAAACGCTAGAGCTACCAAGGCATATAGGCCTATCAATTATATTCAAAATGAAGAAACATCGTTTTAAAATGCATTTTCCCGTTCTGTGTGCTCGCTATACAAAACATAACATGGCTTCCATATTCGTGCCATAGTTGGTCGCTTTTAAGTACATGGAGGCTATCCCGAAAATGCTGTTTTGAGAAAATCTAAGTTAGCCTAAAGTTTTAGCCCGTAGTTCAGTTTCTTAAAAAAAAAAACCCGGAGACTTTCCTCTATAACCAAAGAAATATACACACTAGTGAAACCAAAATTCTGCTATAGGTAGGGCAATGCCCACTTTTGGTGTAGGTCAAGATTTCTGGAAACCCCCAAAATCTGGGTTAGCCCGCTTGTCCTTAAAAGCGACCAATTGTAAGTGATTTAGAACATTAACCTCTTAAATCAGTGCTGGTACGGTCGCTACATTATTAAAAAACAAGTGGGCTAACCTAGATTTCGGGGGTTTCCATCAATCTTGATGTACACCAAAAGTGAGCACTGCCCTTACTTTAGGGAGAAGTTTGGTTTCATTGGTGTGTATATTTGTTGGGTTATAGAGAAAACTCACCTTGTCTTTTAAAGAAACTGAAAAAGGGGTAAACTTCGATTTTCTCAAAACAGCATTTTTTGGGATAATATACTATATACTAAGTTCTGCTAAATTATGAAATATTCGACCGCATCAAGGCCGGCATGAGAATATTAGGAAACATAATTATGCCAACACTGATAGGAGGAGGAAAAAGCGGAATGAAAAAACAGGTAACACCTCTGAGACGTTATTTGGAGATATAGGCAATGATGTCAATCAAGAAACAACAAATGCAGTTTTTGGGACACCTAAATAGACGTAAAGGTCTTCAACATCTAGCTCTCACTGGCAAAATTTAAGGCCAACGAGGTAGGGGTAGGTCCAGAGCAACCCACTTATATATATAGAACCTAAACAAATGGGTAACGGGAAACGATCAGGTAACGTAGCTTTTTTAAGAGCATCCGACCAAAGGAATAAATGGAGAACCATGATCCCCGATGTCTGCAGATCTGGCACTTGATGATGATGAGGCAATAATGTAACATCCCGATTCGCAAATTAACGCAAAATGTTGAAGTCTGCCTGTCACAGCTATAACAACGCTATCAAGTCCCCACAGCATGAGTATGGGTAACAAGACTGAATATTGAAACAGAAGTAAGGAAACAGTGTACAACACCAAAAAATTGTGCTCACGTAACTAACGTTGTTTGAGGTACCTCAGGTTACCCAAACAACCTACTTAGCATCAATCACAATAAAAAATCTTACTTGACACAGCCACACTGTCTCCGTAAACAGAATTCTGTTAACAAGAGGTGCAATATATACGGTGCTGGAAGCATGCGGAACATGGAACAATAATTGATCATAATTTCTGGTCGATCGTTTACATATATTGACCTTAATAGGGGCCTATTGCGTTTCCTAAACCTGATACGTTGCCATGAACACAATGTCAGTGTTGGATGAGGAGGAGGAGGAGGAGGAGGAGGAG